CCAGCGTTTATATTACACTACGTTCTGTTACGTTCTCGCCACAGAGAGTTGAGTACAGTTTTAATGTGGCCACAGCCCATTAATAACTGTTCAAATTAAGTAGAACTGAGTTTATTTTAAGGATAATGTATGTCCTCACTTATAAGCCTATTTAAATTAGTAGAACGTGTTTGTTGCAAAAATTAACTCAATACCAAAAAGATTGCTACACGTCTGGTAAACCCACTTAAAGTACACACATAGGTTAATTTAGGTTTACGTAGGCGATGTGAGTTAAAGGCTAAAATGCTATTAAAATCTTCCTGGACAACACAGATTATTTCCTGGATAATTTGATCAATTTCTAGATGTTTCAATGAAAACTAGTGCAGCTGGAACCCTGATGATTTCACCCTTTATGTCTCTAATGTTTGGGTTAAATGCTCACCCCAATGCTGATCTTGATAGTCTGTCCCTCTTTGAAGCGGAGGTCCAGCTTAGGTGCTGTGCTCTCAGACGCTTCCGCTTTGGCGAGCTCACCCTCCTGCTTCACCCACCTTTAGAAAACCGTTTGAAAACATAGTAATTATCAGAACGGAGATTAATGGTTCAGCATCTTTACAATTCTACTACTCTGAAATTGTAACAAACAAATGATCCACCATTGTCTACGAAGCTAAATGTGCAGAGTATGAATGTTGTTCACAATATCACATTTTTCACTGAAATGTACCAAAGTGTGTCTAGAAATACGTACCAGGTCATATAAACAGTTCAGATGGTAAAAAGAGCTTTAAATGAGAAGCTAACTCACTTAAAATGATCTTGTAAAGCTACGTTGAAGTCAAACGAGTCTCCACGATCAGCAAAACCCAGACCGATAAAAGCATGACGTCCTTTATAACAATTGTAAAGACAAAAACACATTAGGGAACCTTTTGCAACACAAGATAAAACATAAAAACACATATTCCTACAGTAATATCTATACCTACATTACATTACTATTATATTATACACACTCATAATGCATATACATTGAAGGATAATAAAAGCTAAAGTTAAATTACAAACTGTGATGGATCAATCTTACATTACAAATCCCTCTTGTTCTTTTTTAAATTATTTAAAATAATCCTAAACTTTGATGTTACTGATCTGTTTTTTTTACCCTTATAATGTATTTTCATATAAATGTGACTTTAGTACAGTATATCTGCCGACTTTACTCTTATTTTCTGTAGAGTCTCTGATGAAAGGGTCTTACCATTTCCATCCTCTATCCGGATCACAAAATACCTGCTGGAGTCTGTGACAGATTCAACTACACACCCTGGGTACTGTTCGACTGGAGCTTGGGCAAACAACTCTCCTGTAAAGAACAACGGTGCCCTGGGTTATTTTCTGCATTTCAAGTAATTAAAAGTAAAAGGGACGGCTGAGAAGGACAAAGACAGGCAGCATGTTGTCAGGCTCTTTGTTCACACTGTGACAAACAAAGCAGTATATATTTTATTAAAGGCTCTCTATGATAAATGTGACTGGAGTTACAGAACTGGAAAGCATTTATAGGAATTATTTCTAATATCAACATTCGAACAGATCAAATCTGGCGACTAGTTTTTACTGTATTCACTGAGTTAAGACCTCCATTTGAGACACACCGCTCACACTCCCTGTGGTGTTCACAGAGTGTTTATGCTGCAGTGCTGCAGCTGCCAGCCCCGTCTTTCTACACTGAGTCTCACTTTGATAAACACAACAAAAATAAAAGCCTTGTTAAAAAATTAATGGATTCTGTGCACAGAAACGCTGGAGAGTGTTTAATCTTGAACAGATACAGCAGGTGTTGAATAAAAAACATGTTTTCTTAATGTTTGTGACGTATTTTACAGATATAGACAATGAAACTGTAGTGAAAAGTGTATATGTTGCTGGTATATATAATGTTGATAAAGCTGTGAACAGATCCTTTTCATTGTCTATTTTTTTTTTAAATAGTGAATCTTCGCTGCAGCAGGTTATGAGACGTGAGTGAGATGCAGTGTGGTTGCTCTAAGACAGCTAGTGTCATCGATAAAACCTGTGTTTACCCTATTGTGTTTACTATTTAATGTCCAAATGTCTGCTGTGACAGAGGTCTATTACTTGCAGAGGTAAAAGAGTTCAATGTAAAGTAATTCAGGAGATGGCAGTTTGTTTACCTGTGTTTCTGTCCTCTAACTTAATGTAGGCCATCTTGCCTTTAGCGGTGATTTTCATCCTGCCGCTCCACGCAGGTTCATCCAGCTTCCAGTCAGCAGCACTAGAAAAACAGGAAGCGCACATCAGAATATGAAAGTGGTTCAACTAATCCTTATTCAGTGAAATGGCCGACTGGTTTTTTACACAGACAGCTGTAGCTTCTCACAGCGGGAGGAAGTGAAAATAAAAGTTTTCAGGAAGACTGAAATGAGACATTTGTGTACAAAGTGATTTCTTTTGTTCGGCTGCCAACAGAAGAAAGACAATCCTGTTAAAAAAAACAAAAAAACAAAAAGGACTGAAACAACTTTCGTCTGTGAAAACTCTTTGAAGAATCTATTGGCTCCTTTTGATATTGATCTCATTGGGATTCATGTTAGACTGGACTTTTCCCCACACATGACATCTGTGGATCCTTTAAAGAAAAAAACAAAGCCCTCACTATCAACATAAAATAATACACTCCTCACTCTGCAGCAGACTGAATAAATCCATTTATTCATATTATGTTCAAATTAATTAACAAAATGTGACAAAAAGGGGGTCTACTTTTTCCAGAGCTTTCAACTGCATCTCACAGTCTTCTGTTTTCTTCATGACATCTGCACAAATCCAACCCGTGATGTTGTGGTTGTCTAACTACAGTTTCTAACTAGTTTCCTGACAGTTTGTTGACGCAGAAATATTATTTCCACCCTAATTATTACTGTCGGTCCGCTGACAGTGATAATAGTTTTAATGTTGTGACAACAGTCGGATTATGTTTTCATACGTTTCTTCTGATAATGTTGTCTGACAAACAAGCACACGGCTCACTGAACTGAGCTGCAATTAGACAGCAGTCCTGCATTATTGCTGCTAAATTATTCACCAAGCAAACTCCGCTTTAGTGACTCTGTGTTCAGCGCAAGCATTAACTCTGAACCCCTGCGTCCATTATCGGACAAACCTAAGCCCTGCCATTTTAAACTTGTGGGCAGTGTCATAACTTCTTCTTTACGTCGCCCCGAAGGTTGACCTTTAACGCAAATAACAGCAGGTGTAGTCCCCAGGTGGGAAACTGTCTACTGACAGACTTTGAGGCGACAGTGTCCAGACACAGCGGAGAATTAGCTGTTAGCTAGTGTGTCGCAACAACGCTAACGTTATATGCGCACCTAGCCACTTAGCATGAGTATGAGCTAACTAAAGTCTGCTGAACTATTTGACGTGAGAGTATTCAGCGGGTCGGAGCCTGTGTCGACTGGAACAGACTCGTTTCTGCAGCTGAGCAGAGAAAAGTCTGTAACAGCCGTCCATCGTAACACCCCGGCTGTCCGATAATGGGTGTACGTGCGTTACATTAGCTCGGCGGTCGACACTGGCCTCGCAGTCAGTCACTGACGTTACAGGCGTTAGTGACGTTGCTGCCCTCTGAGGTCATCTTACCGATATCCACGGTTGGAAGCGCGCGGCGGGATCCGGTAGACGTGGACCTCGGGCTTCACGCAGAGCATCGACTCATAACTGCTGTCTTCTGCCATTTTGTCAAGTTTCACTAACTATCAAACACAACTTCCGACTCTCAGTGGAGCTCGGCGGAGTTTAACCGGCCGACGA